AAAATGATCTTATATTTAGAATCAAAACTAACTTAACAATTAAGTCATATATTAAAGATCGGAGGGAGTAATAATTACAGAGGAGCCAGGGAGGGAGAGTGGTGGTGAGTGATAAGATAAAATGAGAATAATTGAGTTTGAGAGCAAGGCACGGACGTCGGACCTGGTGGTGCCGCTCATCAATATAAATTTAGGTTCATCACCAATTATGGGTGACCTAACTTTTGCCCCGCATCGCCGACAATAGCATTATTGGCGACTATGCCTATACTACTAATTCACATGACACAGGTAGGCCCCAAGCACACTCCCCCCAGCATCAATCAACTTTCTGCTCAAGCAAAGATATGCGGATTCTTGTTGATGAATCACATTCTCCCACCCATCATTCTCTAATTTAACCTCTTCATCTCATCTCCGTTTTCGTGCCTTGTACCTACTTTTCCTCCCCCCCCCCCCTCCACCGCAAACAAACGACTCCCTGTGCATCCCTCTCTAACCTCCCATAATTACCCAAGTCCTCTACCCTCCAAACCATCCCTCCGTTGAAAAGTACACGCAGTATTGGCAAGCAACGTGACATGGTACCCATCCCCAGTTCGTTCAGCCCGGATTGGAGTGTGGGCCACACTTCAGTTGCCCCCCTTCCTGATATTAATTACTACCCTATATATATAGCACTTATATTATTGACATGTAGCTTATCGAGCAATCTTTGGGTGTGAGTACAAAAATAGGGCCTATTATTATTCAGTCCGCCTACATGCGATGGGAAAACACGAGAGCCCCAGAATTTTAAAGGGAAATAAAGCAGAAAAAGCAAGGGGATATGGAGGTACACGAGTAAAGGAAGAAGGGATGATAAGAGGGGGGGTCAAATAATTGATACATGTAAAGTGAAGCTGCAAAGGAAGCATATATTATTGTTATAAGGGGGAGAAAGTGGCAATAATAATGGTAGTTAAATTTGGATCGTACGTGTGCGGGGGGCGAGGGGAAGCCAAGCGAATCACCATCTTGATGTGTTCCCCACTGCCATGTGAACTGTGGGTGAGGGATTTTTCCATACGTTTGTCCCATATTATAATGGAGGCAACAGTAGTGGGACTCCCATGGTCAACCTATGTATAGAGATATTGATATATAGGTGACTTTCATAATTTCCAACACCCCCAGATTCGTTCCTCTACTCATTCCTTTCTTTGATTATTAATAATCGTAGCCACCCACCCACCCCACCCACCCACCGCACAGGTCTCCCTCACCTCTCTTTTAAACACCCTTTGCCTCCCTCCCTCCCTTTAAACCGATACCATATAATCAGCTCCCCCCCCCCCCCCCAAAAAAAAAATTCCCTCCCCCTTTCTTTCCTCACCATATACCATCTCATCATCACACAAATGGGTTTTAGCGATGCTTCCAGCAGCCCGGGCCTTCGCCTTGTTCTGGGGTTAGGTATGACTGGTTCTCCATCCCGGGCTGACCGTAGTAGCAGGCCGACCAAGAGCTCCAGCGATTTCACGCCAACAAGTAGTTGCGAGCCATCTTTAACCCTGGCTCTTTCCGCCGAGACTTACCAGCGAACCCCGAAAAAGGTTGACGTGAACAAAAGTTGTGAGGATCCTCTTGACTTTTCTCGCCAAACATCACCTCACAGTGCCGTCTCATCCTTCTCCGGCCGGAGATCGAAGAGGGAGAGAGATCTCAGCAGTGAAGACGTCGAGGCAGCGGAGAGGGTTTCCTCCAGAGGGAGCGACGAAGACGAAGACGGAACCAATGCCAGAAAGAAGCTCAGGCTCACCAAAGAACAATCTGCCTTGCTAGAGGAAAGCTTCAAACAAAATAGCACTCTAAATCCTGTGCGTCATCATCGTTGCAGATTGTTAACTGACATTCGTCTGTTATTTTGGGATTGATTATTTGACGACTAACCTTGAGATTTTGTCTTTTGCATCATGACAGAAGCAGAAGCAGGCATTATCCAGGCAGCTAAATCTGAGGCCGAGACAAGTTGAGGTGTGGTTCCAAAATCGGAGAGCCAGGTAAAACCCGGTCTCTAAGTTAGAAGAAACCTTGCGCGCGTATACCTGATCCGAGAATATTGAAACTTCGAAATCAAGCTTAATTAAGGCCAGGCGCCCAGGCCCATGTAAAAAAACGTTCTCTCTTGGAATTCACACTACCAATATAGTATTACCATAATCGTCATGATGGGGCACACAAGTGTTACACACACTACGCGGACAGATGAGATATATTATATTGGAGGCTGATGAAGAATAGTTTTGTCGGGTTGTTGCAGGACAAAGCTGAAGCAAACGGAGGTGGACTGCGAGTTCTTAAAGAAATGCTGTGAGACGCTGACGGATGCAAACAGGAAGCTGCAGAAGGAGGTGCAGGAGCTGAAGGCGCTGAAGCTGGCCCAACCTCTGTATATGGCGATGCCGGCAGCCACGCTCACGATGTGCCCGTCCTGCGAGAGGATGGGGAGGGTCGCCGGCGACGGCGCTTCTAATGACAAGACCGCCTTCTCAATGGCACCCAAACCTCATTTCTACACGCCCTTCCCCAATCCTTCGGCGGCATGCTGATTCCTGGGTTTTGAGGAACAAGCACAGCAACACAGCAGAGTATTCCCCGCGGCCACTGTATTTTCTGGTCGAGGGATATCCGCGTAGGAAACGGTGTAATTATTAGATAATACTGCGTAGAGAAATAGTAACACTAGTTCTGATCCCTTTACTTTGTTTTTTTTTTTTTTTTGCTCCTGTTGTATGTTGATAAATCTTTATACAATACATCTTTCGATCAATCAATGACTTTGTTTTTTTTCTTCTTTGGTTGAAAAATGTTGTTATCCTCTGTCCTTAATTTTATTTCTTTAAAATAAAAGCTAGTTCGGTTGACGCGAATGTGTTGAGGTTCCAAGATCCATGAGCACGTTAAATGTGCATGGGTTCAAATTCGGAATCGCGAAGAATCCCATGATGATGAACCAAATCCATAATTCTGGTACGATTTTATCATACGAGTCAAATGAATAACACACAATTGTTTAAACAAACAAACAAGCTAAGCACGCTCATGCAAGAGAACATGTTTAAGCATGTGATCTTTGTCCTGAAGGGGGTTGGTGTCACTTGGACCTAGAGGATTTTTGACATATTGGGCTATTGGTGAAAATGGATGAAATTAGGAAAGTAAAGGGAGATGGAGTGAGAAGAAAGAGAAGTAGAGGGAATGAGGGAATGGGGGGGGTGGTTTGATTAAATTGGAAAAGAGGATGAGAAAAGGGATGGCGCGGAGGTGGATGGGGGAGTTAGGTCACGTGTTCGTGTCCAGTAAGTAATGAGATTGAGGTGGGTTTGGGAGAGGCGGGGGGACAAAGGGGGTTGCGTCTGGCTTTGTGGGTCACAGCCCCACGTGACGCCCCAATGAGCCCAGCTGAAGAGGCTCCCTCCCCTTCTCAATCGATCTCCACACCACACCCCTTTCTCCCGCTTTTCCATTCTTTGTATTCAACGCACACGCCATCATCATTGCCAAAGCCCCGTCCCCATCCAACGCCATCCCATCTATATTCAGCACCGCATTTTATTTCTTATATTTTAAAACTTCAAAAGTAATATACAAGCTCGTAATTTGGGTGGACCTACGACACCTGATGCCCCACTTTCCTGGAAACTTCTTATCATGTGCCTTTCTTCCCCCTCAATTCTCTTTTTCTTTAGCCCCACCACCACGCCCTTCTCCCTCATCCCAATCCCAAACTCTCTTCTCATCGCTTACTTCATCCCATGTTGACATATAAAAGTGGAAACTTCTGGCCAACTCAGCAGCCATTGGACCTTTCGCCCGGGGCGTTCTTTCGCTCCCCCGTGGGAAAAGAGCCAATCTTTGTGGGGAAGAGCAGATAAGAGGAGGAAGCTAGGGAGGCGGAAAAGTCAGATAAAGAAAACAACAAAAACGCACGGTTGACGCGTAGCGCAGAACCAAAAGTTGCTTTGTGAAAAGTCTTTTTGGATGTTTTGGTCGCAGCTTTGTATTGATTCTATGTAGATTTGCAGCGGTTGTTGTGCACCCACGTAACTTACCCCACACTAAAAAGTATAAACCCCACCACACAGGTCATCCCCCTCGCTTCCCCTCTGTCGGCTTCCTCTACTGTACTTCCCACAGCCTTACAAGTGGTTAGTCCTGCACACTCAGAACTCATCACAGCATATCATGTGGCTCGCTGCGTCCGTTCCATGCACTGTTCTCAACACTAATTCTCCTTACGTGGGTCCAATACATTGTGTAGCATCTACGATCCATGAAGCCCCACATGCTCAAATTCTTTCATCCATCCTATTTTGGTTTTCAAACTTTCGAACAGTACTCACAATCACACATCCATTCAATTTCTGCTGTTTTGTTTTCTCTCGCCATTATCCGGAAAAATATAAGCCCTCATGGACTGGATATGGTGCGACGATTGCTCCTCGGTCATATCCTGCCGACCTAAGCGTGTATGAGTCCAACGGGGTAGACCCCACGCATCCCATTCTGTGTTTACGTTTGGCTTCTATTAGATTGGGCCCGAGTTTGGGCCTCCAATGCTCCCAACCACCACGTCCTCCTCAACATTATATATCTCCATCTCCGGCCCACATGCCGGGGTTCGTCTTATAGATGTCAAGTTATGACGCGTCGCTTAAAATAGTAAAATAAATCCCGTGTTTGGAGGCTTTCGCTTCCACATCCAATTGGCTGCCACGTCTAGTGGATTTCTTTTTATTCGGTCGCTGAGCTATACTGCAAGGTTTTCGCCACCACTTCTTGGCTCTTCACAAGTCAGTTCAAATTTCAGTCTTGTACGCTGTCCCCGATTCAGACTGATCTTTAAATGTAGAGATAGTTTGATTTCGTCTGAAGCTAAGCCGAGCATGAGTCCTTAGGCCCTGCAACTCATGGGTTCCAGAGATTGATCGAGTAAGAGGCGTATAAGTGGAGCTTATATTGGGCATTCGACTCCATCAGGACAACGACATGAGAGTTTGCTACGTGGTGTTAGTTCTATTGATGTTTTGCTACGCGGGGTCGGCTGGTACTGCCACTGGATTCTTCAATCTCACCGCCAATGTTACTGCGGCTAATGTCTCCGCCGAAAACTATCATTTGGAAGACAAGAGAGGCGTGCCCACGGGAGCTAATCCTCTGCACAATAGGTAGGGAAATCGAGAAATTTGATCTCCAGCTTTAAACTTCAAAGGGAACCTGCAATTATACTCGTGCTCTTTCTTTGAGTATTTGAGTGTTACGGTTCTATTGTAGCATATATATATATATATATATATATATATATATGAAACAGCAAGGGGGATGTACCTAGCATGTCCAATAAAGATTAATTCTTTAGGCGCCTGTTCACATGCCTGTCTGTTCGCGAGTTAGCTTAAGTCTCTGTTCAACGACCCTGAATGGGATGTCTCTGTCTCGCATGCCCATCGCCTTATTAAAGCTAGTTTTTCTATATTACATGCTTTTCTTAATTCTTCATTAGCTGATAACTCTGTGTGTGTGTGTGTGTGTGCGTGTCTGTGTTTGCCACAGCATACATACTACTCTGCCTTGTCATCATTCCATTTCTTCTGGGAAATGCCAGAAAATGCGCCAACCACTTCAGTCTATGTTTATGACAGTTTCCTCTCAGTAAAGGAGCAACCACATATCAATAGTAACTCCAAACGTGCGACTCTGAAGAAATTTCAAGGAACCGTGGAGTATTTGTATGGTTGCAGAGTTGCACGGGGGCCAATTTTTTTTTTTTTTGGCCCCTTCCATTTCTTTTTGCTTTTTTGGCGTGTCCCATGTATCCTCCAGCCATTGGCGAAAAGTTAATTCTGTTTTTGGTATAAAATTCATGAAAGTGAGCCGTAAGTATCCTCACAAGATCTTTTTCTACACACAAAACAAGGGATTAAACCTCTAACAAACATAATTAAAAGCCCAATTATCACTCAACTATTTGCAGAACCTACCGCAAATAATACAGCGATCATTTTGAGTTTCATATAGATGCATCAAATGAACTCGTGTAAATATGACCAATTGTAAGAGACTAGGAGCGCATCAAAATGCAAATAAATGGTTCACTTCGACGCACCAATAATGCTGTATTTAAAAAGTAAGTCGTATAATTGGAAGAGACAGCAAAAGCCTTCCCATCTTGCGAGTTATTGTGGGAGGGCGGGTGGCTTTTGTTCAAATCGCATTTAGCGTGCTATGCTAGAAATGAAGCTTTTTGTACATTTGATTGTCCCCTACCCCTAAATCATAGAGGTGGTGAATGATGAAGGGAGATGATTTCTATGCTTTTTTGGCCTTGCACATATCTCATTTTTGAGCGAAATGTGTTGTTAGACTTGCCATTTAAAAAAAAAAAGAAAAAAGAAAAAAAGTAAGCAGTGTGGTATGCAATAAAACTTCCAAGCTGAAAGTTAAAAGAGACAGACAGAAGATGGAAGTGTCAGATACCTGGTCTCTCTTTTTGAGTGGAACAGCGTTAGTATATATTCACATCGAAGAACAAAATGCAAACGACAAAAAGAATCTACATTCTCCCACCCTTCCATTGCAAGCTTAGGGCCGCAGCCTGCAGGCTTAATCTCTCGTCGGTTTGTTAAATAACCATATAGGCCTTTTTCATTTTTCGGGTTAAAAGACGATTGAGGCATTTATCACCTTTAATCCACTCGGCTCCCATTTTAAAGCAGAACAAAGCAGAAATTAAGCTGGCAATTTTATGGGTTTGTGTACTGAAACATTGGGTTTGGGTTGATAGGGACTGGGGAACGTGGGCAAATTGAGGTGTGTAAGTACCATTTATCTCCCCTAAGCCGAAAGGAAAAAGGCGTCGTGGACCCGGCCCCTTTGCGAACATGGGTTGTTTAGTCGTCTTGTCATCTATGGCTCTCTGTTTTGTTTTGGAACAGTGAGCGAGTACTCTTTACCAAGTCGTGGTATTTTTTTCATTGGTCACTCTCAAACAGAACTTTTAGTTTTTGATTTATTTATTTATTATTTCGAAAATTCAAAATAACATCAATTATTATTTTGTGGGTTATGCTCCTTTTTAAGGGAGAGGAAGGGAGAAGAAAGGAAAGGAAACAAAATAGAAAACACGAAAAGAAAATTATTTAAACAGATATGGCACTGTCCAGGAATGACCAATAATGACCCATTGATGACTTTTCTGTCCTTCAATAATAATCTTTCTAGTCTTTATGATTTTAATTGTTATTGACAATAAATATGAACTCACGCGGATTATCTGGCATAATATTTCCAAAAAGAAAATTCACCATCATAAGTGTTATGAAAAACAAAGAAAACAAAAGGAGAAACTCATCCGAACACCTACGATTAAAACATTTTTGGGAGACTGTTTCAGTTTTGGATTTGAAGCTCCTTGAATGCAACACTATCTATCGCATCCGATATCATATTTTGTATAAAAAAATATCATTTAGATGCCAATACCTATCACCGACATATAAATATTATCACTATTGTTGACACAGCACACGCGCTCAATTGATTTTTCAAGAATTAAAAAAATTCCCACAATTTACAATTAACATTTCAGTTTTTATCAATCTGTTTGTTTATTGGCAGGCATCGTCAATATACTATCTATATAATTATATGCCACGTACGTTTTACTACGCCCATGTCCCAATGGATTTTTATACGCTTCGAAGAAAGACCGTCAAGAGAGCTCAGTCATCTCCCACGTTCCTTATAATATAAATGACCATTGCCGGAGCCCTGACAAACCACACATGAAACCTGCCCCTGGGCCGGCATATGTGAATATTGAATTAGCGTGGGATCGCCTTCTTGATTCTCATGTCCACCTTTATGACTATATTTCGGGGACCACATGCGCCAGATTGATCGATGGCATACATAACAACACTCACCCTAATGCTTATATATATAGGCTTAGCTGCACAGATCACTTCTCTTCCTTACAATTTACATGGCTAGCTAGAAATTTATCGGTTTATCTTTATTATTCAGCTTTTGAAAGTTGCAATGCGACACGATAAAACTATATCCTTCAGTCTTCACACAATAATAATGCCTATATAAACTTCAATTAATAATGCGCTCCGATTAGACAGGGGAACATAGAGCCAGCAGCAACAAGTGGGTTTTGACTTTGCCCCCTGGTCTCTACTGCAGGGGCTACTCTCAGCTTAACGAGTACGGACACAAGACCATCAAATTATATACCTCGGTATGCCACCCATAATTGATATGTGTACGACATGTCGTGCGTAACTCAGTATCCATGGCATATTAGATGCCGGCGAGGCACTCCGGGGGGGTCAGTCGGAAGCGCGAATTATCTTTGCAGTAATCATAGATCATGTGGTTCATACGAACCCACCTGTATCTTCTAGCTTCCGCAGCATTCAGAGCTTGGTAAGCCCTGCCTTCCCACCAGTTTCTTGGGTCGGAGGTACAGTCGGAGGGTCCTGGTACCGGACATCCTTCTATGTCGAAATCCTTGTAATAAGCGTAAAATGGTGCTTTGCTCCAATCAATTTTCTCTAGCCCGCCTCTTGTTGCCCAATCATCCGCCTCCCACAACGTAGAATATATGCCCATGGGCTGCATCCTGGGGTATGGGACTCCCCTGCCTTCGTTGTTCTTGTAAACTCTGATGGGAACATCGTCCACGTAGAAACTGCATATACAGTTCCAATTTCGCATACATTATTATATATATAAAGCAATAATTAATTAATGATACCAAGCTAGACACACCCGCGTGTGGTGTTGGAATAGACTTACACAATATGGTGATGATTCCAGATAATGGTGTAGGAGTGGAAATCAGCAGAAGGATCAAACCAGAGGTTGACCCGTTGTTCTCTATCACCCTTTCCGTGGGCATAGATATTTGTCTGAACCGTGTAGGGCTGCCCAGTACGGTTCCCCAAGAACTCGAAATCCAGCTCGTCCCGAACTGAGTCAGTGTCCGAGTTCATCTGCCACCGAAATCGGACGCAACAACGTACTGATTACATGCGCCTCTGTAGTCACTTCAAAACTGAACATAATGATAAATAATAACTTACATAAAATGCAGTGACAGTCCCAGCCGAGTCTCCGGGTATGAGCTTGATCTTCATGGTAACACGACCAAACATATATTGTTTCTTGGAAGAGAACCCGCATCCTGATGAGTAAAGAAGCAGCGTTACGCTCTATATATATATATATATATAATTTTAATTTAATTTACCCTTAGATCAATAAAAAACATATATACAAAAGAGAGTGTCTAAGAAGTTACCGGAGTTTTGGTCAAGAATGAGTTGGATGGCCCTGCCGCGGTCGATTTGTCTGATATGGGAATCAGACCAAGTGATTCGAAAGTCTTGCAGAAAGGTGGCGGGCCGTCCCCAAGCGCACGCAGCAGATATCAGAACCCATAACACCATTCTCACCGGGTAAGACATGGGCATGGTCACGTATGGAGGTGCTTGGTTAACGCGATTATTAGTTATGTTTTGGGCGAATTCGTTATCGAACAGAAGTGGTGGATGGAAGGGGTGGAATGTGATACACACACACACACACACATATATATATATATAGGGCAATAGGAGGCTAGAGGATGATTCATTCAAATAATGGGAAGCGTCTCAGAAGAAGATAGCTTTCCGTCCAGCTAATGGCAAGCCATCATGAGGTCCTACCCAACAGTAGTGTAATGTTGCCCGGGCCTCATCCTCCTATGAGCGTGTGCGCTTCAATTGCAAAGGACAAGCATTTAATTTCTGAATGGTTCTGTCTGTCACACACACACACACACACACATTCAATTTCTTCCTTTCTCTTCCACTAGGTACTTCAAAAGATCGAGTATTGTTTGGTGCGGATTGATGCATGTGCAATTCCATGTAATTTCTATTTTGCTCATCTTGATGCAAGGATGCCACGAGCCTTCATGTGACGTACGTCTACAAATATTGCATTTTAAATTCTTAAATAACAAATTAATTACGTGAAAAAGTTATTCAAAGATATTATTACTTATAGGATTTAACGCGTGGAAGTTAGCTTTAATTTCAAGTATATTTATATTATGGGAAATTTTTTCGAGTATATTTAGCGGTTAAATTTTATTATAGCCTCAATTTTCATTTATAAGAAGGAGAAATTAGTGGCTTTCGATAGAAGTACTGTTGAGATATGATTGCTACCACACAGGAGAATCAAAATTTGATATGTGTACTTATCAAACTCTGATTCTAGTCCGCAAATTACTTGTTAAATAATGTTATAATCATTACCTAATTACAAAAATCACATAATCTGTGTTTTTGACAAGAAAAATCAGCAGACAAGCATCTCTTTGGAGCTTCCATTTCCATCTTGCTTGATTAACGAAAAGAGGACAGATTACAGAACCATCAATCGTGCCAATCACAAGATGACACGCGGGGTTAAGGCCACTGAAGATTAAGGGGCTATATATTTATATATATATATATGGCCCTACGTCTGCATCATATATCGAAGGGTTGTCTCCGTCCAACTGTCGGCAGCATCTTTAATTTGAAGCACTGCTTCAAGACCAAACACTTGAGCTCTGAAAGGCTCTAATTTAGTTATTTAAAATGTTGCTCGCACGCGGGGACATGATCCAGCGGGAAAATTATGGATTCTAAAACGTTTGTTTCCGAAATAATAAGATTAGGAGGCTCGGATCCAATCACTCTCCGTACGTGTAAAAAGGAGGACGAGTGCATTAAGTAGGCAAAGATACAAAAGAAAGAAGTAAAATTTAAGTAGCGGATGAGGATAGATAATACGTGATGATGGTAGGAGGTTGAAATTAAAGTGGACAGTCTCGGCCCATGTATTAAGCGTTTGGTGGAAATAGCTTGTGAGACAATGACTACTGAAACTTAAAACATGGCTTTGAACCCAAAGCATAAGTGCTCAAAAACCATCATTAACCACCACTACTCATTTCCAGCTGTTTCGCACTTGATCAATATTACTCCTTCCGTCATAAATATAAAATTTATTTTGTACTGTAAATTATACTACAAAATGAATCTTATATATAGAAGTAAAGTAGTAATTCCCCCCCCCCCATATTCTCTCCAAGTCGGATAGACTAAGAATTCAAGACAACAAAAATTGAATGTTATATCTTGGTTTCAAGTGCCCAAACAAACAAATTAAACTGGAGAGAAATTTATCTCTTCAAGTCATTCTCTTTAGGTCCATGCATATATTAAAAAGAGCATAAGTAGAGAAGTGTATATATGCGTTAAAATCTCTATCTAAACCTGTTAGATCAGTCTCATTACTGAGTTAGGTCAGTTTTTATTATCTTCTATTCATCCGTATAAACCATCAATTTACAAAAGAAGGAGGAAGAGAGAGGAAACAGACAGGATGACGGCGATCTAACTTGGCAATTGGGATGTGACAGAATTGCCAAGCCTAGACTGTAGACCTGGGCCAACAATACATGATTGGTAGCATTTGTTAGCATTCTTTTTCAAATGCAGGCTTAACTTTTTGGTACTGTGAAGGATCAATATTCGACAATAATATTCTACCGATTCTTATTATAAGACTTATTTAATTAATTTAATTAGATTTAAAAAGTTAGATAAGTTAGTTAATTATAAAAAATATGACATGTTTTTTCTAAAATACCATAATCATCTTCCTGAATATTTTTCCTCTCTCTTTTATTTTACTATGGTTGATGGAGTATCTATATGGGTAATTTAGAAAAAATTAATAAATATGATAAATATGTCTTATATTTAAGATTAAAATTAACTCAATAATTAAGTCCTATATTAAGGATCGAAGGAGTACTAGTTAAGAATACTTAAGTAATTAATGCATATGTGTGTCTTCTAGTCCCGATATATTCTTGAATTAATTAAATCGCCTTTTAAGTGACCTTTATCGTTTTAAAAACTGTCGTCCATCTTCTAGTTTGTCTTCTGAAGTGTTTCAACTCATATTTGCCATCATAAAAGCTCAGAAATCCTTCCTATACATAATTCTTAAATTTGAGAAGGATGTTAATCATCAGTGACGCTGTTATTTTTTTCTTGGTTTTTAAGGAATTCAATGTTATAGTTCAGTTTGGTTATTTCTCTTAAGATAACGGTAAATGCTTAAGCCTGCTTGAAAACAAAGTTTTGAAATTCTCACAACTTCAGACTTCTAATAATTAATTATCGGAAAATAAAATTTTGCCTGCACATCAGTAATGGGTCATGCGTTTGGTGAAATCTGATTGTTCGAATTGAATTCATGCAGAAAGTGAAAGCACATTATATTACTTGTTTTGATGCCTACAGTAATTATACAAGTGGATTGAATAATGTTGCATGGCTTATTTGAGTGTAGAGAGAGAGAGAGAGAGGGAGGGAGGGAGTGGTTGTCATTTTATTAATAGACGATAAATAAACTCTGTATTCCCTTTTCCTTTATTTTCTCAGGATGAACCAAACTAGCCAAGACTCCTCACTGTATGATAGGCCCACTATTAACAAATTAAACTACAGTATATCTCTTGTAGGGCTGTAGCCCTATGGACAGGGACTTCCACATGTGAATGAAGTTGATGGTTCTCAACCATTTCGAATAATTGCATAGTAGTAGCTTAATGTGATTATTACATCCGTTGATTTTGTCCTCCACTAAGTGGGTAAGAAGGGTTTCGAATTTTGCAGTACATCATGTTATTCTAACAGCTATAGAATGATGAACCTTTGCTGTTTTTCTGATAAACGTACACTTTTGGGTGGAGCATATATAAGGATTAAGGAAATTAATCTCTGGCTTTTGAAGATTGTCATTGATTCCTTGTTCGAAACGATTCAAATAAGCAAAGGTGGTTATGCGTCGTTACGATCTGGACCACATTAATTAGTTAATTAATTCAGCTTATTTATATCGGCTGTTTAAGGGGTTGTTAGAATTTGCAAGCCAACGAGTTTAGAGAGGACCAACCACTAGTTTTTCATTTATGATAGAGGGTTTAGCGATAATGTTTGGTTTCTTGAGTTTTCAATTCATCTTACAAAGCAAACTAGCTATTTCTTGTGACGTTGATCAAAACGTACGCTTGAGGGAGTCATTAGTTAGGTTGTGTTTGGAATTACTTTTGAAATCATTTATAAACATATTTCATATAATAAGTTAAAACAAAAATTCTTTTACATATTTTATCTTGTATTTTACAAATCACGATTTAAAAAATTATTTATAAGTCATTTTAAATAGATTTTTAGTCTTACTAAAAGAGATATGAGAGAACTCACTTACTTAAATAGTGTTGTTTTTGGGTTGTGCTAAGCTTTATTAAAACTCGAACCACAAGGTTAGTTTTTGAGAGCTCCAAAACCCTTCCTTCTTTTGCATTTCACTCCTCTTGATCGTTTCTTAATTGTTTTGATAATATGTCAAACAAGACAGTAAGCATGTCGTCCATAGGAAGCAGACTCACCATATAGCTATATAGTACCAGAAGACTGAAAGTATGTATCTGACATGTTTAAAGGGTTAATCATGTCTACACAGTGTAAGTAGTCCTTCCTTGTTCCACACCCAAGGACATGGACCACTGAGTGATAGCCCCAAGCCAAACTAACTTGGAAAATCAGTTGATTTTATGAGAGCCTCTACTTATTGCCAAGTAGGCCACAATCAGCTGGCACATATGCTGCAGAAGCTTCTTGCTATGCACCGCACGCACTCTTTCTACATTCAATTTAAACATCGCATCCAGGCTGCAGCAAGCTAACCAAACGCTATGGAAATGGGATTTTTACACCGATTCTTATCCTTGTTTATGTTTAGAGATTGTTTAATAAACTTCTACACGATCTGTGATCTAAGCACATATGGATCGGAAACAGGGACATCAATCGTGGGTTACGAAACAAGTTCCGGATTACATATTCTATGATTGAGTCTCTGAAACGGATTCCAAAATCAAAATTGTGCAACTCCAAATCAAGAAGCACTGATGTCTTCCTCAAAGTAAACGAACATGCATTCTCCTGCGAACCAAAAATGTACGGTCACGTTCATGCATAGAACAGTCCACATCAACGGCGACAGTCCTTCTAGTACACACGTTGGTCTCAATCGTGATGATGAAGGGAATCAACAAAAGAAGAATACATGTTATTTATATATAAAATATCGAATCTCGGGTAAATTACAATGCTCATCAATCATAAAAATGTATTAATAATCATTTTGCGCGCGATGAATTCATATGGAGTATTTAAATTATAAACTCCACACGTACCTCACATTAAGAGATCATTAAAGGACTAAATGTTTGAACTTTTTTGCCCAAATGAGCTCTTGTATGAACCAACCTACTATAAAACACGAAAGGCCCTAATTTGTTCTAGCGTTAATGTTAAAATAGGACTAATTCCTTAAAATAATATTCAATTAGTTAACGACATTTCATCCAATTATTAAATTTAGCAAATTTAGTCCAATAACATGATATTCATGCCAATTGGATTAAAAAGACTACTTT